ATTGGTCTAAATATAATTTGCTATAGGATACACTTATGTATTTTCCACCTATATTTATTATTAGGGATTAAAATATAAAATCATTGATTATGATTATACAACAGTATGATATAGTTATAGTGTATTTGATAAATATGTTAGTAACCTAACAGCTATCTATTTTTCATGATCTGGATAATTATTAGTATTATCCAATCAAAAGATTTTCATTTGATCGTTGCCTATATTGACAAAAATTAATTAAGAATTTTTTTTTGCTAATACACAAATATTAGGTATATGACTTGATATTTTTTTTTAAATTTGCTTATTTATTTACAGTAATAAATTTTGACATTTCGTAATATAGGCGTATAATAGGTGTATGATTTTTTTTTGCTAATATACAAATGATTCTAATATTTTAATATTATTTGAATTTGTTTATTTATTTATGTACTGCATACTATTATTACTGCACATTAAAGGTACATATACTATACCAAGGTCTTAATAATATATAGACCTTATATTTGAGCAGAAAAATGTCAGTAAACCGTATATCAGAGCAGCACCATTTTTTCCAGTACTTTGTAAGTTAACTGATATTATAACTTAAAATCATCCTTACCACTGGGTTTTCTTTTGTAGACTTCTCCAAACCGTGACATATATTTTCTGATATACTCGGCAACTTTATCTTTTGTACTATCACTTATTTTTAATTTGTCCACCTTTTTTAATTGTAACTCTTTCAACAACACATTTTCGTTAATCTGCAAAAAAAAAATTGAAGTTTTTCCATAAATAACTTTAAAATTAATATTTTTAATTACTTTTTTGGCAAGATATTTAAAATCTTCATCATTYCTTATACGCCCTTGTTGGCATGTTTTTTTAGCATATGATCCTAAAGTCTTTACTATTACAGTAGCCATTGAATGATAATAGTCAATAACTTTCTTCATTTCTTTTCTGTTATCAGGAATGAGTTTTAAAACATCTACAGATAAAGACATCATGCTTATAGGTATCTTATGATTTCTTTGACTACGTAATCGTTCTAATTCAGTTGACTTGTCTCGTAAACTAATGCGCCTATTTCTTGATGCTTTGAATTTTGCAACAATAGGTGTTATGATTTGATCATTAGTTGTATTGAGACCAGGAATTAGAGAATCATCATCACCTTGAATAGCAGAAGAAGAAGGCTGAAAAATAGATTTAGGTTCATTTTKTATTTTAAATGGATGACACTTCATAAAAGGTTTTTGTTTCATAATATTTTGATTCAAATTAATTGGTCTTACTTCTGAGTGTGGCAAATTTGGTGATGTCTCACCTTCTATCCAGAATGTGACTCTTTTTTCTTTAGGTTTTTTTAAATAGTCGTCCACATTCATACTACTTTGTCTCTTTAATGCTGATTTTGTCGTATTAACAAGACAATTTTTCAAAGCTAAACGATGTATACTACCCTTACGCATTAAATTACGTTTAGTAGCTGGTATTTCGTCACGGTTTATTTTTAAACCTTTCAGTTTAATTCCCCATTGTCGTTTTATAACAGCCAAAAAACCATCTTGAGTTTTTACATGACCAACTATTTTTTTTAAGATTTTTGGTTTCATATTCTTATACAATTCAATTTCTTTTTCAGTTTCACCATATGTGATTATATTAGAGTTGAGATTTTTCGAAATAAACTTTTTTGGTACTAAGTTTTCATTTTCAGTTCTTAATACCTTTTTCAACAAAGAACTAAATATGGCATTTGCAAATTTATTATCTTTAGATACTTTAATAGTTTTAGGAATTGGCATCAGATCTTCACTTAATGTGTTAGATGTCACACCACTTTCTTCATTGATGAAAACAATTCTTTTATTTTTATCACAAACAGACTTCAACTTTATATCAGATGAGGGTACCTTTTCAAGTTTTGTATTATCATTTTTATGTTTTAAGTTCTTAATTGTAATTAATTTTGATGGCTGGTTTTTAAAAGAATTACTAATAACTTTAATTCTTGCTAATAGATCTGCACCAGATTGTATAGCTCTTGTACAAGATTTTTTGGAATGTTCCATTTCTGTATCAACAGTTTGCATTTTATCTTGATTATAATGCTTACGTAAACTGTTATTGATCAAATTAAATACATTAGTTTCTGCTAATTTAAGCAGATGTTTTGTTGGAGATAGATCAGATGATTCAATATTTTGATATATAGGTTTGTTGTTTGATGTAATCTGATTTTGCAGTTGTGTTTGAAATGGTTGATTAGATGCCAGTGGTGGAGGAGTATAATAAAATGTTGGTTGATTAACTAAATGATAATCAGAGAAAACTTGAGACTGTGTATAAGAATACTGTGGAAATTGAATAAATGGTTGTTGTACTGCTTGTGGTGGCATGTAATTGAAACAAGGATCTGGCATACTATATTTGATTATTGAATCTGAAACAGATCATTTTAATAACATTAATGAGCATGATAACATAAAAATTTGTTAAATATTAAACACATATATAAATCCCACAAGGATTTAATAATTTATTAATCAAATATATGGTATGTATAATACAGGGTAAACTATTTAAATAAATATACAAGTTAGTAATGTTTACATTACTTTGATCTATATGCATTGCTTCTGACATAGAATCCCATCTGGBTTTTTCACTGATTCCATGATTATTATTTAATGGTGAATTATTACAATTATTGAAATTTATTGACTGGTGTTGATGTAAATAATTTTCATCAGGTTTGTGTTTTATTACTCCCTCGACTTTTTCATACCAATTATCCACCACTTTTTTCCTAAACCTAAATCTGAAAAAGTTAGTAAAGKCAAAAAATAAATTGTTACTAAAATAGTGTTTACATTTTTTGGTGTTCTTGATCCACTTTATATTGATATTCTTTTCTCAACTTTATACGATCAGAAGATAAAGTTTGTAGATTCCGTACTTTATTCACATATTTATTTGAATATCTAAACCTAACAAGTATTATAAACATTTTAATCTGAGACTAAATTATTTTATTTAGTATTTAATTATTAATTACGTTTTTCGATCCAAAGTTGCGTCCATAGGAGATTGATAACAATTGTCTATAAGTTTAATTGAATTTATATCACTAGTTGGTTTAGGTTGATCTACTTTTTTGGGTATTTTAAACACCATCTTCAATACAATCCACTTTTTCCACAAAGCTCTAGACTTTTCCACAAGACTATTTTTTATTTCATTATCATTTGGCAATAAGCTATTAATTTCTTGACAGTGATTTTTAATTTCTGAAGCAGGATACTCTAAACTAAAAAATACCATAATTAATGTGTTATTATAATTTTAAAAGTATTTAAATAAACTATTAAGTTGATAACATTTTATTGTATTCTGATAAATATTTCAAAGTTAAAGTAGAGCTATTTAAAAAATATTTTATTTTAAGGTATCATGTTTGAAATTACAGTGGAACCTCAATAACTCGAGTCAGCTGGGGGAAAAAAAATTTGAGTTATCGAAAATTCGGTTCTTAAAGGTTCCACTATATATACATAAATATATTATATTTTAGTAAGCATTTAATAAAATCAAGTAAAAAAGTAGTTTAAGAATATAAACCAGAAATTATTAACATATTCATAACAATTATACAATTAACAGTTTAATATTATTAATAAGAAATAAACATAAATACAATTTTAAGAAAAGCCAAATTGTATAATAATATTTTTTTCCACATATCTGGAGAGAATTAAYGTTTTTCTCATGCTATGCAGATGACACAAAAAATGATAGCCAACAGTCCAAAATATTAAAATACATCATAAATATTGCAGATTATGTTATCACATATCTTTGCAAATTTTACCAAGTATTAAAATTCAGTGTATATTAAAAAATGAGATTTTAATTAAATAATGACTTAGGTATGTTTGATATGATCCAAACATTTCAAAAATGAAAAATATTTAATTGGGACATAATGAACAAGAATTTAAAATATTTTCCATATTTAAAAAAATTTAGGATGGGATTTGAAATTTATGAAAATCTTATAATCAACTTTTTCCAAGAAACCTTAAATATTAAGAAACATATAAGAGTTTTACACATGATTAACTTAGTTTAAAGAATTTGAGAAAACCACGATGTTAATTATTTATCCRGAAACCTTATTAATTGAAAAAATCAACTTGAGTGTTTATATCACTTAATATAAATGATTTTGAAAATTTGAAATGCGTCTTGTTGATCAACAGTTGAATCATATAAAAATAAATATTTGTTAAACTAAGAGGTGAATTGGAAAACTTTAAGCATGATTGAACAGTTAAGAATAGAGAAAACAACAAAAAGGAAGTGTGGAAAGCTATTTCCTAAAATTATTTTACTCTAAAGAAAGTACACTTTCTCTAAGGGAGTCACTCTTGTTGGAAATTAATTTTCAGTATAAAATCTGAGTTGAAAAATCAACCAACAGAAGAAGTGGTATCATATTATGTAAAGTTACTTATATAAATGAATTGATAACAAGTGTGCAACAGAAATAACTGCATTGCAATTCATTAAGCTGTAAGGTATTGCTATTTATGTTAAATACAATTTGTTTGTTGGTTAACTATATGAATAAAAATAGCTACTTTAAATATTTATAATAATTCACTGGCACACAGGGAATAATAATAATAAAAAAAATTTAATTTAATTTCAGCACTTAAAGTCAGTAACATTTATCATCCCTGTGATATTATGATTTGAGAAATTATAAACATCTAAATAAGGTTTTATGTTTTTAAAAAGGATTAGTTTCAACTTGAACCTCTAGTTCTATCCAATAGTACCCGATGTAAAAAAAAAATAAATTTCTCACGGAATATTCCAATAAGTACAATATTATTGAATGCAAGAAAAAATCCYCTCAAATTAATTAAAATTAATATTTGATTTTTGAAACCTTTCAATTTTAGTTTTGACATCTTGTGGTATTTTAGCCCATTCAGCAACAACATCTAATACTTTAGATTTCGTGATTGTATTTCTATTTGAAATTGGTAGTTCAGCTAAGATTTCTAAAATCTGAAAGTTTTAAAAATTAATTTAAAAATTGGAAACATATTTGTAATTATTAGATTAAGTAAATTAACCATCAATTTGAATGATTCATTTTCATTTGAAGTCATCCAGTTATGAATAATACTAAGTCCACTGAAGTCCATGAATAGTCTTTTGTTCATATCATGTTCTCGTATAAATGTTAACACATGTAAACGACTGACGCTGTCTGTAATGTGTACCATAAGTCTATTCAAATTCAATGTTGCCATTTCTTGATCAGCTTTTAAGCCAGTTTTTAATTTGGCAATTTCTGTTAATTGTCTTCCCAACTATTAAAAAATTTAATTAATTACATATCACTAAAATTAGAAACCTTTATGTACAATTAAATGTAAAGTAATTACAAGTAGTAAAATTATGTATAATTATGTAAGTTGGCAAATTTTTAAGTCAAACATAGTAGCTGCTAGTGGTAAGTATTGTTGTAAGTATGGGAATTTAGTTTCTTATGGAAGTCTAATAAATATTATTAACTCTACAACTTAGAAACTCACCTTTGTGAGTAGGGGTTACAATTCATTCACGGCAGTCCATATCCTTCATAAAAGGCGACCAAAATGGATTTAATAATGGGCAGCAGCATTGTAAATATTAAAAAAAGATTTATCTACCCTTGAATAACTGCCCTTAGTAATAAAAGGTACTACTGTGATACAAAAGGCAAAGGGAAAGCATTGCATACATTTTTTCAAACACCAATAAAGCAAATAAAGCAATAAAGATCAAACATAAGAATGATAGAAAAACAGATGAGAGGATTCAGAACTTGACGTTTTAAGATCTTTTTTACCAAAATATTCCATGCAAATCAGCATTAAAGAATGAATACTCTGATAAATGTTACAAAATAGTTATTAAAAATTAGTGAAGCTATAGATGAACATAAAATATGGGTGTATCGATAAATTAACAGATTTAGGACACCAAACGTGGCTAACATAATAGTTAGAATGCTACAACCAGATAGTCCTGTAAATTTCTGCCTATTTCACACAGRCTATTTAGATAAGATAAATAGTAGTATAATTATACAGCTATTTAACAAAGCAATGCATAAATTGTGTCCAAATAATGTAAAATATTGTCATATTTTACTTTTAATATCTAACGCGGCTCATTGTATGAAGAAATATAGGTTGTTCAATTCAAACTTTATACTCTAATACTATTTATTTAACTTATTTAACTTATTTGGCTTATGTATATCATGTATAAAAAATGTATAATAGATTATAAAAATGTAGACCAGTTAATTATTAAAATTAAAAAGATATTTAAAAAATTTCCTAAGAAAATTGTAATTCTGAAACAAAAATGTCCAGGATAACCAAATCTAACATAWGAGGCAACTACATGTTGGAGTACATAGATTAATGATGTAAAATAATATTGTACAMATTTCAATGAACTGAAATCTACAGTTGTAKGCATCAAAGAAGATTCTGAAAACACAAGAGTGGCAAAAAGATTTTTGAAAAAAAAATTAACTATATATTAATTGGAGAAACAACAAACAATAGTGATTTAATAAGTAGTAATTTTAATTTAGATAATTATTTATGTATGAAACATGTTCCAATACTAGTTTGATTTAGAAAGATAGTTTTCTATGTACAAAAATATTTTGAGCCCAAACCGTTAATGTTTTACTGAAAACAGATTATCTAAGTACATAAAAAATTTTTTTTTTTAATATGAAATGATTCAATAAACTGAAATCTATTAAATCTTTTTAACTGATTTTTTGCCTTTTTTCACATTTTAAATGCTTTGTTTATTGAAATAATTGATAAGGTTGCTTGTAAAGTTGTAAAGGAAAAGGGTAAATAAAATTACAGTGAAACTTAGACATAACAAAATCGCATGGTAAACAAAAAAATTTGCAATATAAAGAAATTTGTTAAATAGAATTTTAGTATGATTGATTGAATCTCATGGTTCTAGAAAATAGTTCACTAAACAAAAATTGYCATTAAACGGACATCTGTTAAATTAATCATTATTGTATTAATGGAGGGGAGGCTTACTTGGCTTATTTTTGTCATACAAAATATATGATAAAGCAATAAAAGCATATTTACTGATTATATAACATAGTCTAAGAATAGTCAAACATTTTTATCCCTTTGCCTTTCAAAAAAGCTAAATAAGCCACTGGACAGTAAATCCACGAAAAATTAATTTTAAAATAGTTGTGTAAATAAAACAATAAATAATACCTCTCTCAATTTATTTTCATCATTAAAAGCAGTCCTCTTTTCCAAGTTTCTTTTCTTTTTTCTATTTTCCTCAGGTTTTGGTACAAAAACATTTTCATTAGCACTTTCACTATCCTCAGAACTATTATGGTCAGCAATTTGAGATGATTTATTGATGTATCCACGACATTTTGATGAACCACAATAACAAATTTGAGCACCATCTCTGAAAATGTAAAGAATTTTTTGGAATAAGTATAAATACACAAGGTTTAAATATATAATGATTTTTACCCAAAGATTTGAAAACTATAATCAAATGTAATTTCTTCGCCTTTTTCAATATGCCGAGTACTAAAGAAACCAATACGCGACTGACCCAATACATGCCACTAAAATAAAAATTTGTGTTTTAAAAAACCCAAAAATTATACATGGATACAATTTACTGTCTGTAGTTAGTGAACACTATAAATGTATACATACATATCATCTAGGTAATTCTTATATTTATACATATAATGGTGGATACAAAAACAATATTTACGTTATAAAAATAACAAGCTAAATGATAATTTCATTGTGTTAAAGAGATTTAACTTATATTTAAGTGTTGGTATTTTTTTTTTTTACTGTGTCTATAAAATGTCTAAAAATAATTTAACATGTTTAGATTTCAAGGAAAAAAAAAGCGAGTAAGTGGATATCGCCCTGCTGTACAGTAGGTTACAWGTGGGTTACTGTAATGGATGGAATTAAATTTGAATCCAATGATATTTTATCATTGTATTCAAAAAACGATTCTGAGCGGAGACAGTTTATCTGTTTAGGATATGTTATAGATTATTAAAATTTTTTTAAATAAATTGTGAATTTTTGTGATTTTTACGTATGTTGTCAAAATTAAAATTTGAATGTTTGTAAAAAAAAAATTATGACTATGTATTTCTTTTATAATACAACTGCTATTGTAAAAATATTTTAGGAGCCTTGTATTAAATGTTCAAATCTTAGATTAAAAAGAAAAACTTTTATGAATTTTAATCTAAGATAATTTGAACATTGCCGTAATTTTTACGTATATAGTCAAAATTTGAAATTTAAATGCCTATAAAAAAAATCGAGMATATGTATTTTTAATATTTTTCAACTGCTATTGTTACAATATGTAAGAAGCCTTTTATTAAATGTTCAAGCTTTTCTACCCAACAAAAATTATTTTATCAATATTAATAGAAAAAAAAACTAAAAAAGTTAAAATGTTTTATTTTGACATTAAAATGTCAGTAAACAGCTCAAAACAAATCAAAATATTTTGAAAATTGTATCAAATATAGAAAATGCCTATATAAGCATTCAATGAAAATTTCAAGTACCTGCGGTCATTTTTTTTAGAGTTACACCAAAATAAGAAAATCAACAATAAATGTGAAATCCAGTGAAAATCCAATGTTGTAAAAATATAAATTTC